TGCTAATTTGCATATGGTCTTAAAAGGTAGCATCTGGTTCATAATCTCGTCCTTTCCTGGAGTTTTAATTTTAGTCCCTTGATAATGCTCTGCACTTCGTGCGGCTTGGTTAGTTTGATAGAAGGTTCCGTTGAAGGGGAGTGGAGCCATTGATCGTTAAGGTAATGAACTTGAATGTCCGAACTATGATCTGAAGGGAAGGAATTTGGAATGAACTGTTTAGAAAGGTGCTCCGCAAATAGTTCCGCTTTGTCATGGTCGGAGTAAACAAATCCGTTATCGCATTTGAGCGGGTTTCTAGCAGAGCAGGGGCGTTTTAGCGTTCTTGTATGACGCCAGGTTCGTCATTGATCTTTTCTATCTTATCCTGCCATAAGCTAGAACGATGGGCCTGAATCTTTTGCTTGATCGTCCTATTAAGCCTGTTAATTTGGGTTTTGATAGCAGGATCCCAGGTGAGATTGAATTCCTTTCGGAGATGATTTCGAAACACATTATTTCGAATATTGACAGGAAGCTGTGCTCGTGTCTGACACGGTCAACCTCAGTCGTAGCTAGGGACTTAGCAGAATGCAGGTACGAAGTAAGTCTGTTATAGCAGTTCAATATCCGAATGCGTTGTAACGAGTCACAATTAAATCAGTGGTCATCAAAGTATTATGATAAAGATTCCAATCAGTATGCTAATGGCGGTAGGTCTTAGCATTTTCCACTCCAAGTAAGCAAGCACAAGACATGATCAGAAGACATGTCACATGTTACCGTAATAGCATAGGAATATTGAACGTCGTAAAAAAATCCAGAATGTCAGGCGATGGGTTGAGATATTTGGCCTTAGGTAGGCTCACCGGCACATGCAGAAAGACTGGGTAATTCACACAAAATCATGCACTATGCGTCCATTATAATTCGAGTTGCGGCATCCCAGTCGAGATGCTTGGCGTTTAAATCGCCACCTAGAAGGTGGGGGGAGTTCTGAGTTAATAAGTCTTATCCAGAATTTCAGCATGAGTTGTTCCCAGGGCGGTTATAACCCACAAGAAAGTGACATCCCCAATGTGGGTAGATTCACCATCACTTAACACTTCCATTCCATCACAATTTTCTGCACTTTTCAGATAGAATCAAATGTCCTTTTAACATAAATGAGCACAATTTCTTGCCAGAGCGATGCGAGATACTTAACCTGAGAGACATGAAGTCATCTACGCAACCAATCACTATCGGCACGACCGGCTTTCCAGATGACGTAACATCAAGTTTCGTTTTTGCATCTTAATTAGGCTGAAATAGTCCTATCTTAATACAAACAGTGGCAGTGAAAAACGAAGTAGAAGTAACTACTATATCCCTTTAAAATAAGAACTAAACTAGATGTTCTATATATAACTTATGTAAAAATTAGAATCATTTCAAGGAGGAGAGATGATGCAGAAAAAGGGTTACAATAGATCATATTTTCCAACACGCAGCCGTAAAGATCTTGACGCATGCGCAGAAAGTTTGTAGCTTTGAGGTCCAGATTATAGATCATTCCGGATTATGGGTGTCCGAATTAACAACTTTTGACTGTAATACAAAAAGTTGAAATAAATAACTATGTTTTATTACTTCTCTGAATTTCCTATGTGATGCTATAAAGATTACTGTTTAAGAGTACTTACAGTCAGTTCCCAAATTCACTGTGGTAATACCAGGGACAAGATCTACGGTTAACTAACATTGTTAATCTAAGAGCAGTTAAAAAAAAAAAGGAATAATCCGCATTTCAATTAACAGGAAAACAATTTTAACAATACACCTTGTATTTTCAAGTAGTGTAATATAGAGATTAAATTCTTTTCGTGATGTACATTAAATCAGTGTTAAAAAGAAAAGAAAACCCATAAATATTGAAAAATAAATATCATTAGAAATAAAGCAGTTAAGTTATAAATTACTCTGACATCATTTGCTATCAGTGCTGTTATCCCATGCATTTTTCTTTCCCTTGTATCTTCCATTGTTTTGAAGGGGGGGGAAAAATGGGCTATTAGTCTGGAAACTTGATTTTATATAGTTCACTGTAGGTGTGTTGTTTCACTTTTCATTCATATCTGTTACTAAATGGAAAAATATAAGATATTATTCTTTCATGTTTAATCTATCTGCTACTGCTAAACAAAGTATTTAAAAGCAATAGATGTAATTCTCAAAACTATTATTTTTTTACTTTTTAAATTGAATGATGTAAACAAAAATACATTTAATTCATGATATGTCTAATTAAAAATATTAAATATTTTTATAGAATTATGTTAAATATTTTTTCACTTTTTAAATATACAGAAGATGTATAATGTCCCCATGTTAGTATACACATATTCATCTTATATCCTATAAAATGTTTTGCTATTCCATATGGGTCTGCTGATAAATCATGTTAAACTTTAAAAGAGCCCTTTTGAGCGAACGTTAAAATCTTAACCCTTCAGATTTAAATTATTATTAGCCCAAAGGCATTTTCGTTTTGGCATTTTGCTTTGAAAACTTTAAATGTTGGTTCACTTTTCAAATTGTTTGCCACCAAATATTACTGCCCCTGTGTTATATTTAAGGCAATTAAATCATGCAGAATCTGCATAAATGTATGTATGTTTCTTGCATTGTGATAAAACAATGATACCGAGAGCCAACAAATTTTGAATAACAGAATCCTCCACGGAATATGGGCATCTGGAAGCCCTAATTTGGAGTCTGGAATTTGTTTTATTAGCGATTTCATAATTTGTAACATTTTAACAAATTTTTGATTAACAAACTCAACGATTTCAAAGCGGGCAACGGCAACACTGTGCGGGGGGAATTTATCTCCAGTACGCGAGACTGTGTATTGGAAATTCTAAAGGTATGCTGATTTTACAAGTATTTTGCAATATTGCTGTTGAATTGAATTTTATGGTTTAAGTGCAAAGAACATGATATTTAATAAATAAAGGCAACACACAAAAAGTTAAAAAATGGCCCCTTGGGCGTAATATAAAATTTAAAAAGCTTTCATTCTTTTTTTTTTTTTTTTTTTTAATGGCAGGGCGCAGTTTATCAGGAGTTGACTGTACATGCTTTTAAAGAAGTAATCTGAATGTTCATAAAATCAAACATAACAGTTTTACAAAAAAGTTAATTATTTTTCAGCAGAAACAAATGAACCATAGGGTATTTTATGTTTCATTTTTGCTATTATTCATTCACTTTTAGCATTTGAAAACGATTTCCCTAAGTTTTCTTTCTTTTTTTTATTCTACTATATTTTGACTACTTTTGATAAAATATTATATAAATTAATACTTTCTTTTAAGTAAGGAAAAAACAGGCTTTAATGAATACTTTTTCATTTATTTAAAATTTCCACATTAACTTACTTCACTATTAAATATAAATTATCAAATACTTTTTTCCTTGTAGTATTATTGTACACCATGTTTACTTTCCCAGTACAATAGCAAAAGCAGAGTGGACTAGGTACTGACTTTATTGCTTGGGGGTAGAAAAGGTAATTTTGGTAGAAAAACGATTTTAATGAACACATTATCCTTCTGTTATTTTTTAATGCTTTTAGTTAACTTTTGATCATAAACCATTTAATTACCTTTTTTTCTTTCATAATGTTAGCAGTAAGTCCATGAGTGTATTATTCTGCAGAAAGAAATTGTTTTCAATATGTTAAATGATTATAAATGTAAATTTTATATGAAAATCTTTGAGTCTGAAAAATAACATATTATGGGGAGGAAATTTTTTTACTCTCTTTCATATCCTATGTAGTAAATGAATTATTGGTTACTATTTGTCTTAAACTATTCAATTATTAAAAACATTTTACTTATGAAAATGTTATTGAATTTTTTATGTTTTAATTTTTCCCCCGTTTCTTTCTCTCTCTCTTTCTTTTTAAAGAATATAAATTTTTAACAGTTATAAAAATAATGATTTCATTTTATAACATATGTTTCTTTATACGTTAGAGTGCTGATTATCCAACTTAAACATGCCATGGACTGGTTGGATGATCAGGAATGTTGGCTTACACTGAAAGTAACAACTACAACATTTCCAGTTAATATAATACATTCATTATTTCAAAAATTGCATACCAGTAACTTTAACAAACTAGAAATTTATACTGTGTGTACGATAAAGGACAATCAAACCTGATGAAAAATGTTGGTAATTGGCACAACATATCACAAAGCAGGGTACATAAATACAAAAATAAAGATCGTAAATGCACTGTAAATTGAACATTGTTACAGGAACAAAGAACAAACAAACCATCAAGTCATTGGCAAATATAACTTGGTATGTAGTCAACAAATTGCCCAGGTGGGTAGACTGCAGTGTGGTGATTCACATTAAATGAAATCCAGGTCAACAATGAAGCAGAGACACTCCTTTTATTGTACACTGAACAATTTTTTGACTAGTTTTTTTTTTTTTTTTTTTGGCCAACCAGGTGAGATTAGCTAAAATAACCGGAACTTGATTGTGTATTAGTAACATGAGTGGTAGGTATTCAAAATAAAGCTTTAACACTCTAATGAGATGGCAAAATTCCTGAAGTAACATTGTATTCTGTTAAATAAAGCACAGAACTTTATAATAATGATGCAGTATGCAATCTACCACTTTTAGTTTTAAGGTATTTTATCCTTATTGCATATCTTCTATTTCCTCCTTACTGCACATCTTCATAGTGTAATCAGAAAGCATGTCCGGCTAGCATTCATTTTCATATTAAAAAATAGCATATTATTGATGGTCTTTAAGAAATAACTTACTAACTAAAAGTAGTAGATCTCATACTACATCATTACAGAACTTATTTTATCCATTATAGTCCAGAAATTTTTATGCAACTTTATTTCTTAGCTTTAACTACATTATTATTATTATTTGTGTGTTTGTGTTCAATTTAAATATTTATAAATAATTTTGTACGAAAGTGGATGTATTTTGTATAGGCCAAAGCATTCTTTGTTGCTGCATCAAATCTTGCTCAACATTTGTTTGAACCTCATTATAATCAAGCACTTCTTGCTGAAAAGGTATGTAATATATTCCTTCATTGTTATAAATATTTTCTAATTAAAATAAGCTACTTTATTGCTTTGAACAAAAATATAGAGGTAAAATCATTGCAATCATTATGACTTTCTGATAACTATTTATAATAATGTTATGAAATTGCATTAATAATTGTAAATATGTGTTCTATAAATAAGTGCAATAGAATCTCCACTATTTGAATTAGTTGGGGCAGAGCCATTTCAGATGTGTCTATAACATTGGTAAGCAGTAGTATATATTACAGTACATTAAGGTATCTGTATTTTTAAGAAATAATGACCGATCTTTTGAAGTACATTCTTGCAACTGTGTCATTCTGCCATTTGATGAGCACTATCATAATGTTCTTCAAGACAGCAGAGATTTTATGCTTCATATTTTTTGCATATAAAACTCTACTACCGGTCATTTTCGTTATGTATTTCCTCTAAAGAATGAATGTGTGAAAAAAATTTGAGTTAGAGAAATTGGAGGTGGCTGGTTTGTGGGGATTCGGTAATTTGATGTTACTTTTCTTCATTAATTTTTTTAAGTGTGAATCTAAGTGTTAAGCTCTCTGCATAAGCTTTTTTTTTCCCCCAAGGTCCAGGGAATGTTGTGAGGGTAGTATTACATATTGAAATTTTCTGCATGGCTAGGAAACTGTTAAATCAATATGTATTGTATTTATGAAATGTCCTCAAAGTGGGAGTTCCTTCAAAGTCCTTGAAATATGGTGGACTAGTCTATACCTTTGTTTGTGCCTTAGATCTTAATACTCAGCTATCAAACGAATTTTAATGATCAGTTACAGATCTTTAATTGATACTTTTTTAAGAGAAATGAATTATGAGTTCTCATTATTAAGAGTTTCAATAAGTTTTCATCAGTTGTTCTTTAAGAAAGCTTGTTGGCATGCTAATAGGGAGCCAGCTCTTGTAATCTATGCTCCATGGTTGAATTTCACCAAAGAAATGGATGTTTATAAGTGTATAGTGTTTTCATGGTGTGAGGAGTTTTAATATACTATTGAGCCAAAAGTCCTCTCAAGAGGTTGATTGTAGAGGAACAGGGGTAGAGATCTTTGGATCTCTCTTATAGGGGTTCACAACATCTTAAAGAAGTCGTGAATATGATCACTAGCGTCATTGTTTACTCTAAGAAAGCTTGCTACTGTAGCAGCAGAGAACTGAAATAACTGCTGCTGATTTAGTGCAATGAAATGAAACAGGTGCCTCTTGAGAAACTTCAGATAGTCCGATGTATTATCCCAAAATATGTGTTACTTGAATTCTGTTTGAACCTCATTATTTTCTGCCACTGCAGTTGTACTTTTAAACAGGTCAATAGCACTGCTACAAGTTCTCTCATAACCAGAGTTGTCACTAATTTGTGCATGGATGTATTAAAAAAAGGCCTTTCTTCCGATTTTAATGTCAAGTTTTGGAAGAAGTAATAGATGGCAGACTGGTTATTATTTTGGATGATGGTTTAATTTCTTTCTTGTTATTTTTTTTAAACAGAACTGATTATAACAAACTCTTCATCTTTGAAACTAAAGGTAAACTTTAATTTCAGGATATCTTATTTTGCAGTTATGTTGACAACAAATCTCTATTTTGGTCAGCAGAAAATTCACACATAGTTATAAATGTGTAGACTTTTTATCTCAAAATCTCCTCTCTTACAGTTTTTGTTTTTTACAATTTTGTTTCCAGTGTGAATTTTGCTTTAGCATATTTGGCTTATTAAATAAACAATACTACTATATTCAGCAGGTATTCTGATATCTGTGACTAATAGTGGCGAACTGAGTGAGCCTGCTACGGAACATTGTTATTCCAACCCAAGTTCAGCTCATGGCAAATGGGATAGCTGCATGAGAGTTTCTTCAAGTGTAAAATAACATAAGTCAATTTCCCTAAGAAGGCATTAGTCCTTGTATGGATGCCTAACAAACTTAAACGACAAGCCAACCTACTTAATATCTTGCAGTTTTATGACTAGTTCTGTATTTTATGATTTGTTATGTATTTTTAGCATCTTTGAGGCATTTCATACATTTTAAAACAATTATCATGCCAGTGCTTACTACAAATATCTTCACTTCACTATTTTTTTTTAATTTAGGATCTTTTACAGTGTCTAGCAAAATGACTTAATACATCTGTTCTTCGATGCTATTATTAATTTTTTTATATATATATAGACAGGTGATCTTCAGAGTGCCTATTTCATGGTTCAAAAATCACTAGAAGCTTATCCAGAACATGCAGATTCAAAGGAATTGTTCCAAAAGATAAAAAATATATTTACAACTATATAATTATCTAAAGAGTGTCAATCATATTCTAGTCACATATTGTAAAAGTTGGCTTTATGCACTTGATTTGAAGCAATTAAAATGTTCCTTATTAAAAATTTATGTAGAATTATCTCTTTGATCTTTTAATAAAAACTGTTTAGTTTGTTAAATACTTTGCTTGTAATTCATTTTTGTTTGTGGTATTTTCTGTATTCATAAAATATATTTTGACATCATTTTCCCTTTTTATTCACATAGAAAATATAAATACTTTGCTTGTAATTCATTTTTGTTTTTGTGGTATTTTCTGTATTCATAAAATATATTTTGACATCATTTTCCCTTTTTATTCACATAGAATGGATGATTATAATTTTAGAAAACCTTTACTTTTTTCTCTAATTCATATTCCATTTGCATCTATAAATTAAACTAAATATTTGGAATTTCTTTTTACTATCTGGAGCACACATTCCCCTCACACTTTATTGTGAATAGACAACTGTTATCTAAAAATTAAAAATTGATATTTTAATATATTTTTAATTGAGGTTTTTCTTTTTTGGAAGGGCTGAATTTAGATTAAAAAAGTATTTTTATCAATGAATTTATATATTTTATAGCTCTGTTTTGAACTATACTTCTCAGTTTTATGATAAAGAATAAAAGCAATATGTTTTCAATATAGAACATATGTTAAAATTTTGAGCAAGAAATGTGGCATATGTTGCAAATGAAATGATTATTGAATGACGTTTCTACTAGTTGCAGAAGAAAGCATAAGCATATGCTAAGTTTATGCAATTTTTAAGTTTATGCAATTTTTTATTCTATTAGCATATGCTAAGTTTTATGCAATTTTTTTGTCATGTAACAGATGCTTTTTTTTCTCTTTGATTTCTTTGTTAAATGAGCATTGATCGATGAATACTACCAACATTAAGTCAATCATGGAACCTAGTCTAGTTGCTATATCTTTAAGAATTCAAACTGGAAAATTCCACAACAGCTGTAGTACAGAGATTAAAAATAAAGTATTTATTGAAATTAACAGCTAACGAGAGATCCATTTGCCATTGGTGTCCAAAATTCTTCTAATGGCATTTGAGGTTATAAAAGAAACTCTTTACCATCACCCTTCCTCCATTGATTTGAGTTAGTTAAAGAATGACTAATTAAATCCGATCCATGATAAATTATACAAAAGAGCACCCAGACATCAATTGTATACTTTTAAACTATTTTCATGGCACTTGGCAATAATGAGAAAAATAAAGAAAGCTCAACAAGAGGATGTCTCAGAGACTCATTGGTGAAGATAAAGCATGCTATTAGAAATGTGCTTATCTCTTCGAAGAAGTAAAGAAAAAAGAATTTTGAAATAAATTTTGGCTGTGGGTGAAAAGTTCATATTCTGCAAGTAATATACGTATTTATTGGTGCACTTGTGAATGATATATACTTGAGAAAAGACTATATTCTCCAGACACTTTCCCAACAAATTATCTTTTCTTTTTTTGGCATTTGAGCCATATTTCCACTCAAGAAATGCTTTGCCAATAACTCATCAATTTGTTAGATAATGGATAGCTTCATCATTTCCAGAGATATCGAATTTTACAAATGTGATACAAATGTCCTTACCACATGTTGGTAACTGCTGGAAGTTACTTCGATTAAACGGATATTATTCTACATTTTATATCATCCTTAAAATCGGTCATTTCATTTGCAACAACTCAGTACATGCACATATTCAGGCAAGGGTGTTTATACACAAGTGGAGCAAACTCTTGCTTTCAATTAAGAAGCATATAATGAACAAAAAAGTATTTTTTATGTTCAAAACTTGATATCTTTCTGAAAAATATTATGCCTGCTAAAACCTTAGTAAGTGTTAAGACATTCTTCAGCCTCATGAAATGAGAGAATTTGATGACTGTGTTATCATAACTTTTCCCCTATTGAGTTATTAAGTTCAATATTAGTCATTCTACAGGTCTAATATGTATTGTAACTTCTCACATAAAACCAACTGTATTTTTATTTTACATGGCATTCATAATTAAATTACAGAAAAATTCATTGCTTAATATGGCTGGTGTTCATCTTTCTCACCTTTTTCTATAGAACACGCCCCTTCTTATTGCCATTTGTTGCAATTAAGCAGGGTAGATAGGGTTATTGCAAAGGACCATACAAACAGTGTTGTTACAATGTACATTAAGATGAGTATTGATGCACTTTTATTGTTCTTCATTTGCAATATAATTACTCAAGAAGTTGCATGATATAATCAGTAGTGTATTGTAGTTTAGGCTTTTACAATTGACTTGTCTAAGAAGAGGTTAATTCAAATCTTTTAAAAAGCGCGATTAAGGCGACTTAGCTTATGCTATGATGTTCATTAATTTAACTACCTTAAATTCATTTTTCACCCATGACTGGTTTGTTAGTATATAGCTTTATTGCTTAGCTACTAACTTTGGAATATAAACTTCCAAAAAGTTTTAACTCTATGTGCCGACGCTGTTTCAAAAGAACTCCAAATTAACTTGAATTCTGTTTACAAAAAACAAAATTTAACACACATATTAACTTATTAAACACTCATTGAGTCTTCGTAAAAGTTCCGCAAACGCTCTGATTAAGGCAATTTAAGATCAGTAGATAATTCAGATCAAATAAAATTTAATAATAATAATTATGTTGAAAAACAGTAGAAGTTGGGAGAATAGAATTTGCACAATTTAAGTTTAATTAATTCAGTAAATTTTATTTAGTACTATGAAACATTTTCTTTAGTAAAGGCAAAAATATTAAAATGGGGAAGTTCAGTAATCTATTAGGATACTTATCAAGATGTGTTGAAACATCGGGAGAGTCGACAACCAAATCAGAACCATTGGCTTTTATTTTTTTACATTTTTGTAATTAAATCTTTGTTAGCATATATAAATTATTATTACTTTAATTTAATATAGTGAGTAAAAACTATTCTATCATTCAACTTCTAAATGGGAAGAGCTTATTAAATGCAGAATCATCTCTATTATGATGTATTGATGTGTTTGTTGATGTAAAACAAAATTTAGCACAAATATTAACTTATTAAACACTCATTGAATCTGTTGATGCAAAACAAAATTTAACATAAATATTAACTTCTTAAACACTCATTGAATCTTCGTAAAAGTTCCGCAAATGCTCTGATTAAAGCAATTTAGATCAGAAGCTAATTCAGATCAAATGAAATTTAATAAGAATAATTATGCTGAAAAACAGTAGAAGTTGGGAGAATAGAATTTGCACAATTTATGTTTAATTAGTTCAATAAATTGTATTTAGTGCTATGAAACATTTTCTTTAGTAAAGGCTAAAAATTTAAAATGGGGAAATTCAGTAATCTATCAGGATACCTATCAAGATGTGTTGAAACATCAAGAGAGTCGACAACCATATCAGAACCACTGGCTCTTATTTTTTTACATTTATGTAATTAAATGTTTGTTAGCATATATAAATTATTGTTACTTTAATTTAATATAGTGAGTAAAAACTATTCTATCATTCAACTTCTAAAGATGGGAATAGCTTGTTAAATGCAGAATCATCACTATGATGACCACTTTTGATAATTGTCTTAGGGAGATTGTTGCCATGAAAAGGTTAACTGTATTTCATATAATAAGAATAGAAGCTGATAAAAGGAAATACACTGTAAAATAAATAAAATTTTTAGTAAAAATTATTTACAATTTATGTAAAGTGTTGTACAAAATAGTACACAAAGATTCCAAAGAATACAGAGAGAACCTGAAAATCATTTTAGTATCTGTTCTTTTCTCAACATTTTGACACTACAAATAACATTTTCAATCAGAAGACATAACATTGCAATATTGATGTTCATTCACAATATTGCATTTTTTGGACCAATATTCATCTTTGTCAAGCTTGCAGTGGTAATCGAGAATATACATATGCATAAAATCATTATTATAAGTTTTTTTGTTCGCATTTATTATATCTTTTACATCAAAAAATTTTAAACTATTCTCACTACCAAAATCTATTGACTTATAAAGGCAACAGATTATACAGCCATATATTATATGCCTTTATGATTTACACAAGAAAAATAGTTCAATTAAATGTTTCCATCTTCCAAATGATGAATATACTCAAGGCAACAAGAATTTATTGAGTCTGAGTGATATATTTTCCATTATTTCAAGTCAGACTATGGTAGTGGCATCACTTGCCATCACATGAAATACACATCCTCGATTTTTACATATAAAATCTGTAAATATTTGCATATTTTGTACATTTTGATTCTCCATAATATAAAAACAAACACTGACATAATGACTGAATGATTGCTATAATGATGAAATATCACAGATTGCTATGAAGGATTTCTTCATAATTACATAATCATTCTATAAAATAATAGTAGCAATTAAGTATTTTAAATTAAAAAAAGATTCTGTATAAAACTGAAGTCTAAATATTATATATTATAACTAGAAATTGGACAAAGTGGGTAAGATTTAAATAATAAATGAACAGAATAAGCAATTATATTAATACAGCTATTACTTGTATAATAATTATTACAAAAAACAGTAGTATGGAATAAAAATGTTCTCAGCTTTAAAATAAAAAATAAACATTTTTTGCTATCCTTAATCTGAATTCACACTTTACACAATCACTTGATCATTAATTTTGCATTCTCATTTAGTAATCCATATATATGCAATACTTTCTTATGCATTAGATTAAAAAGAAAATTTTGAAACATCTCAGTATATCCGATTTCTACTAAAAATAGGATTTGCAGCTAATTTAATGAGAAAATGTATTACAATGGAACTTCGAGATACAAGTTTAATTTGTTCCAACACTGTGCTCCTATAGCGAGTTTCTTGTATCTAGTAACAAACTTTCCCATTGAAAATAATGGAAATCTAGTTAATCTGTTCTGCACCCGTAAAAATATTAACATAAAAATTAATTTTTCTAATAAATAACACTGGTAAATAATATAACCATAATTTACCTTTATGATAGCTTCCGACACCGATAAGAGTGGTGGAATTGGTGAAGACTTACGGCTTTTCGACATCGATGATCTGCATTATTCTGTAGAAGCAGGAAGAATTAAGAAACTTGATGTGGCCAAAGGAGTTACCATTACCTCCAAGCACCGTCCAAAACTCGAACTTTTAACTGCTGCCTGTTAAATCTTCTCTCTAGAAGATTAACAAGAAGCAGTTAAAAGTTCGAGTTTTGGGTTTTGGACGGTGCTTGGAGGTAATGGTAACTCCTTTGGCCACATCAAGTTTCTTAATTTCTTCCTGCTTCTACAGAATAATGCAGATCATCGATGTCGAAAGGCCGTAAGTCTTCGGCAATTCCACCACTCTTATGTTTATCTATGATTTCTTTTTTAATTTCAATGGCCATGGTTTCCTTATTTCCTTTCCTGAGGCAACAATCTTCTTGGGAGGCATCGTGAAATAATCATTTTCATGTTAAATGTAATAAACAATTGACTCATAAGTGCACAAACATGTAGATCAAAGAATACTGAGTGATCAGATGAGTTGATTCTCCAAGTCGAGCCAGATCGGGAAACGGCACCACGTACACCAACAGCCTGGCTCATTGCTCGTTACTCGAGTCAATGTTCGTATTTAGAGACAAATTTTTCACTCTTACTTTCCTTGTATCTCGTATATAGAGGTGCTCGTATCTCAATGTTTCACTGTATAGTATTTCAAATGCTAATAGAAGTTTAATAAAAAGCTATTAAAATGTTTCCTCAGATAACAGTGAATATTTTATAATAATATTACAGATATATGAATTAACTATGATATTTTCTATTACATTAACCATTTGTTTCTAGACACGATTAAGCTACTCAGAGTCATGTCCACAAATGATCCTGTTGTATAAACGTACATTTTTGCTTACTTCGCTGTACATAATTTCACAATCAGGAAGTCAAGAGTTACTTATTTTATAGAACCCATTCACTAGTGAAAACAGTAATTACATTGAATTTAATATTGTTCCTAGTCATACAACTATCAGATTATTACAATAGACTTTAATGCAGGCCAAAAACATTTATTAATAATTGCTATTAAAGATTTATAAGTTGTAATTTTATCTAATAAAACTACAAGAGCAAATAAGAAAATTAATAATGTAATCTTGGTATTTGATTTAAAATTAAAATAATTTAATGCTTTAATATAATTAGACTAATTTAAATTGTATGGTCATTATTTTATTTTCATGTTTTAAAACTTCAGATTAAAGAAATGGAGCAAACATAGAAAATTCTCCTTTTATATTTTCTCAAGTAATTTAGTAATTAATAAATTTTGATTTTCCATAATATTAATTAACTTTTCATTTTGATTTTCTAGCAGAATATTCCTTTTTATTAAATGACTTGATATTTCTTTTAAAGTCTCGTTTTGCTCTTTAATGTAAGCTAATAAAGTATCAGTTTCCTTTTTTTGTATTTTTCTTCTTCTTTCAGCATAATTCCATCGCCCTGGATGAATATAAAAGCAAAACTTAAGATTTCCATTAAATAATACTTATATTGTTGATCATATTATTGAAAAATAAAAAGTAAAAGAAAATATGCAAAAGTACAGAAAAATTTAGCATTTTGTTTAAAACATTTAAATACAGATTTAAAAGAAATTCTTCAAAAAGAAGGATTAGATTAACTTGCTTGAAATATCATTATTTTTTGCAATAATGTATCATACATCACTTTATAGAAAAGAGTTGAAAGATTAATCTCCCTCATTCAATTAAGAGGTAAGTTTGTTATTTGAATGGAAATGATTCTCAACATTAGAATAGCTTAATATACAAAATATCCACATAGACGCAAACCTTTATAATTTTTTTCTCTGAGAATTTATCAAAGGTATTGTGCATAAGGTCACTCTTACTCATTACATTCAGAGCTGGATTATCCAAAGCACATGCTTAGGGCATCAAGGAAAAGGGGTACCACAAAAAGGTGTTTAGGAACTCAGGGAACAGCACTAAAATTTCCCATTGTTGATTTTACCATGGAGTTACACGGTGCAGGTAAACCAAGACAGAAAGAAAATGAATGGGGCATAAATTTACGTGGAAGCACCAAAATCTTTTAAATGCTTAAGGCCTCCAACAATCTTCATTGATACCTGGCCATATTAAATTCCTGCAACCACTTGTTATTAAGAATGCATGTGACATGTTCTGACTATCACTTTGATGCATGTTGGTTTCACAAAGTACATGCATAGAAGTCCTGACACAGCAAACTCCTGTTTTTGCTATTAGATGATGCAAGATATAATAATTAACTATTCTGAAAGTAATGAAAATCTGCTGCTTGTTTGTGAAAACCCTAGTTACATGTACAAGACTCAATTCAAATAAAAATTGTTTAACAAATATTTAGCACTCACTATCTTGGCTACAGGAGAATTAATTGTTTGACTTTAATGCATGCAAATATACACATAATAGAGTCTAAAAACTTAATAGCATTGACTGTTTTAAATTTAATAGCTAAATGCAAATCTAGACAAAATAATTATAATGACCTAATAGTCAAGCATTGGTCATTTTTCACTGAACGATGTATATCTACACATATTTTTGAATGCTGTAATATATATTAATGAAAATTTTACTTTTATAGCAGTTCTGTGGTGTTTGCTGACATGTTGCGTTCTCTGTTTGCTCCTCTGGCGACTCTATTTCTATTTGAGATTCTATCACTGATTCTGTTTGGAGAACTGTTTTAGTTTTTGGTTCAGGTGTTTTGACAAGCAAAGTTGTTTCTGTTTCTTGCTTTCTAGGCTCTTGAAGGTCTGGTTCTATTTTAGGTTCAATAAATGAATTTAAAGATGTTTCTGTGGCTAATTCAGTTGACCGATCTGGTAACACTGTTTCAGGTGCAGTGTCCACTGAAGTTTCCATCTATAGTGAATTGAAATAAATAATCAGATGTTGCATTAAAAATATAGACAGATTTTTAGATAATATTCATGGTTTCTTATAAGAACTAAATTTTTTAAATTTGTCATGCATTGCATGGCATCATAGGAATGACAGATTTTAATACTTTCATCAATAAAAATGGTGCTGTGACTAGGCATGGCATCACATAATATTTTCTCCACCAAACCGGTATAGTGGTTAGTATCGCTGACTGATGTGCCGAAGGGCCTGGGTTCGAATCCCGGAGAAGGCATGGATGTTTGTAAATGTATAGTGTCGGTGCGGCACTCTAAATATGTAGCAAGCTGAAAGTCCTCTTGTGTGGTTTGGTGGAAGAAGAACCCTTGGACCTGTTCACCCCCCAGAGTGCTCTCCATCAAAATTGGGTGCAGAACTGTGCTAAATCACACTGTCAACCTGAATGGTGCTCAAGGCTGTTGCCAACGGCAGGTGTAATCTAGTGCTCCTTTGCCACGAGGAATTTCGTGGGCTGAGTTAGACAAGTGAGCATAAAGCAACATATAATATTTTCATTTATATATCTAAAACATTCAACACAATTCCATTTTGATGTAATTTATGAACAGTATCATATAATGAATGAATAAACTTTCTTGCTTACATCTTTTTATTGTTTAATTCTTCAGTTTGTAGCTTTGCACTAAAATATATTTTAAAAATTATATTAAACAAATTCAGATACAGCCCAATCTTGATTTAACATTTCTTTTCATTAGCTCAGCCCTGAACAAATAAAATCAGGTTGTTAATTTCAAAACTATTCTTGGTAATATCTTATAAAAAGCAACTAATATTTTCTAATGCCATACACCAATCAAATTCTGCAGAAATACGAGATATTTTCTTTCCATTTTGCTACTTTCACTTTTTCTTTAATTAAAAAAAAATATTAAATATATAAAAATCTTGCTTCTCATTGATCATTAACCACTATGTATCCAAATCTACATTTAAAAAAAAAGTGAAAATGGTGCTCTTACTATCAAATTCTACAAATGAAACCATAGTGTTTTGAGTATAATTAAATCTTTAAAACACAATATTGCAAATTTTTAATGTAAAAAAATTAACAACACTGGATTTATTTGAAAAATGAAGCAGGCAAATAAAATGTTTTGGAAATCATACAGTACGTTTGTAGAAGTTGGAATACTGGTAGTTTATTAGTTGGATGCATAAGAACAAGGTGAGTTAGCCATTCATGTGATATATAAACATGAAGTTCATGAATTTCAAAACTCTTGAAGAAATTTCTGTTGAATGCACAGTATGCGTAGAATTTCTAATTCTGAGAGCGAATACAGAGTGTTTGGAACACATGTGAAAAACATCATTTTTGCAAGTAAACCTATAATGTGTAACATAATACCTGATTTGTATCACAGATACGACTTTATAATGCATTTGTTGTTATTAATGAGATAGTGTCTGTACAGCTTTAAAATGTGAAATGGAGCAAAACAGAATTAAATACTTTTTTAAAAGTAATCTTAATGTTATATTTATCACTTAAAGTATAAAACAACTTTAATGGTAAAAGAAAAAAAAAGTTTAGCATTTTGTAATATATACATCTTGCTTAAAATTAAATTACCATATTTCTTCATTATTTTCCGCATGTCCATTAAGGTGTGAAAAAATCCAGTTTTTAAGGTATGACTACTTAAAGTGATCAGATTTTTTATATTTACAATCATAATGTTTTTTAATTTCTTACATTCATGAGAAAAATTACATTCCAATATAATATTTCAGTAATTAAAATTTTCTGTAATATAAAATGATTCGTATTTATCAACATCAGACATAACATAAGGAGGTAATTCAAGGCCTAATGCCATCCAACCAGGAGAGTGATTCTGACTACCATACTGAAGGGCCCGAGTTCGAATCCTGGAGAAGGCATGGATATTTGTAAATACTCTGTGTGGCATGGGAGCACTCTGAATATGTGGTGAGTCGAAAGTTACCTTGAGAGGTTGATGGTAGGAGAAGAGGGGTGGGAGACCCTTGGACTCATCTCCTGTGGTGCTCTCTCTCAAAATTGGGGAGGGGGTAGAACTAAGTTCAAGTCAGGCTGTCACCTATATGATACTCAAGGCTCTTGCCAATGACTGGTGCATTTGACTTTTCAGCACATTGAAAGTCGTGGGCTTGTGCTGACCATTGTCAGACAAGTGAGATTGCTAACAACAACAACAAAAGGCCTAATAGCATAATTTTTAGTTTCTTTTCTCATAAAAATACTGCAGTATAATTTTGAAATTTTAACTACACGTTTATTAACTTTCAACATTTTATGATAATTTAAAAATTCAAAACTTAAAAAATTCATTAAATTGTACATCATTAATTACACACATTTAAGAACACTAAAAGGATTGACAACTTTATAATTATCCAACACTTTGTAATAAATTGGAATAAAGCTAGGATTAACAAATTCATGTAGGTCAAGTTGCAGTAAAGAACTTGCTTTCAATTTCTTATAGATCTGTAGAATCTTTGTCTTGTCTTTGTCTTAAGTAAACAACCCCAACAACAATTCCCAAAACTCAAATTTCATGGAAACCCAACACCACAATGACAGATGGAAAACAAGAGGTGATACAACATTCCAAATACAAATGGTGAATTGGACATGACATCAGTTTACTTCTTTAAATTACAGTCAAAAGTCTTTGATCCGGACTCGTCTGGACTACGGCGATTCCGGATTATCGGTTTTTCCGGATTATAGATCATCAATTTAAATCTGGTAAGATGGCATGCAGAAAATATAAAATTAAAAATATGAAACCGTAATTTATGAAATAAAGAGCATTATGATCTAAGGGTATCAAAATTTACAAAAAAAAAAAAAAAAAGCTCAATATATTGTGTATTATTAAACATTTCTTTCAACGAGCGCATGCGTAAAGCATATATTATGCATACTCGCAATTAGAAAACTGCAACCAGAAAACTATTTAATGTCTATTCGTGATATTTATAATGAGGAAATTGATTTAAATCATATCAAAGACGGAGTACATCGAAATATTACACTTAGTAAAGGAATTATAAGCCGAATAAAATAAAAGCACCTACCCTGAAGATGATGATAGCGCTGACAGATCAACTTCCAGTTCATAGTGCGTGCGCCACAACGTTCCCGCACCCCGGCAGCGTGAAATTGATAAACTGATTTCGGAATGGTAGAAAAACAAAGGATTATGCCTTTATCCATTTTTTGCAGCAATTCACTTTGTTTGATGGACATCGAAACATGCTTTCATTTTGTAATCCTTTGCCAGCTCCAGAATCGGAAATTCTTTTGACATAATCGAAAGTTCAAGCTTACTTTTATAAAATTGCTCTAACAGTCTGCAAAAATAATAAGCCAATCCAATTAGAAGATTAAGGAACAACACAATCTGCAACATTAACTGAAATAGATAATTAGATAATTTTAGCTTAGCTTATACCATCCGTTATACATTAAATACGCATGCGTAGAAAGTTTGTAGCTTTGAGGTCCGGATTATGGATGTTCGGATTAAGGACTTTTGACTGTATTTTGATTTTAAAACTATGTGTGCCAGTTTATCTGTATTGGTTACCAAACTTTGCTCTTCTCTATTGTAAATCATAATATTATTCAAGCATGATCATTTTTAGCATTTCATTTACACTAGCATAACTGCATATTCCGTATAGCTATAACTATGATCAGCATTCATTTTGACCGCTTGTTCCAAATAGAAGAAGAGACCCACTTTATGCTAATATTATGTAAAGTTAATGCTTATAATGATACATTTTGCTTGTTTAATAAGTAAGTAAAGTAAATTGACTAAACACATGCAACTAAAAGATAATTTCATGTAATAAAGAGCAAAATAAAGCAAAGTGAGTAACTATAATAATCGAAGGATATTTTAATATAACAAAACACTAAAAGAGAAAAGCAATCACTCTAGATAATTTTAAACTTCTTATCATTTAAAAAATTGCCTCATTAAAATTTGATATGAAATAAAAATATAGTAAAAATTACACACATCAGTACTTAACATTACTCGGTTTGGCAGTGCATACAGATTACTAATTTTTTAATTTTACCTGTACAGGTTCCACAAACATGTTTTTTAAAGTATTCACATGTATTCAAAGTTTCGTTGCCTCTGCATGCATTTATTTGGCATTGTTTAAACTTACAAGAAGGGTTGATGCAAGTACCATTCTCTTTTCATCAGATACAGAAAGTTTTTTTAATTTTTATGAAATGTACATCTTTCGAAACTCCTAAGCCATATTCAAAGTAAAATCACAATGGCTGATATTCTTATATTCAGTTGTTTCCTTTTAAATTATACATACATTTATCAAGGCCAAAGAATATTTTAAAAAAAAAATTGAACTGGCCAACGGTTGGATGAGGACTTCACAGGGTATTTTCTGGCCATCAGGTCCAAATTTGGTCTAACTGTAAAAATTCACAACTTCCGGTATATTTTTTTCTTGAAATGGGATTTCCAATGTTGGGTGCATGGTACTAAGGAGCTGGGCATTATTATTATTATTATTTTTTTTTTTCTTGATAAGACGTAAGCATTACATTGTCATGCTTAGCAATTTTACTAAAACAGAGCTCATTTCTCGTATTTTTGAAAGAATAAGGTATTTATCTTTTTGAACGATTTATTGTGTCAATGCAGCTTATCCCTGAATTTCTCATTTCTTTTACTAATTTCAGCGGTTCCATCAGGCAAAAAGCTGCATGTTGACCTACTGTTTCTCCAGCTGGTCTTGTTTCGTCTTTTGCCAAATAGGGAAATCCGTTCAGTAAATATTTTGACTGCACATCAGTAGCAAGCCAA